ATATATACATGTATTAATTCAACCTTAATCTGAGCTTCTGGACAAGAAAGAGGGTAAGCAGTTGAAATTTCATTCTAAAACCCATTTTTTTGGTCTTTTCATAACTTATGATATGTCAAATTTGTAGTTTTCTTTATTGGTTTTGAGTGTTTATCTTAAAACTCAAGTTTCTTGGTTTTTTGCTCTTGGTGTAAATCAAACATATTTGTGGAGTCGTTTAAATATGTTGGATTTTAAATATATTGGATTTTAAACTGTCATACAATTTKTTTCATCGATAGTCTGTAATTGGAACCATAACTCTTATTTATTCAAATTTTATTAATATGTAAAGACCAAGTGTAACCTATATCATCGTCAAATCTTATCTTATAAAACCAGTGAAACTTCAAAATCGTTAAAATTCATGGCTCCCGCCGCATTGCGCGGGTACACAACTAGGATCCATGATTAACACCCTCTACAATAAAAATGATTAATTAATCTCTCATAATTACAAAAAATGAACAAAATAAAAAATTATGATTGGTTGAATGAGTTTTGTACGATTTGTACAAATAACGTGGTTAGCAAAGTAAACTTCCTCTATATATGTATTATGTATATATGTATGTATTTCTATATATATGTACGCATATATATTTCTGCGTATATATATATATATGTATGTATATGTAAATATATGTATGTATATATTTCTATTAGTTCACATTGAGGTATGAAATAGAGAGATGTTTCAAGTGGAGACACTTTTTTTTATTAGAATCCATACTAGCATATTCACAATCAAGAATCTGATTTCAAGGAGAAAATATCAACATACCTGTTAATTGTTTTGTGATAATGTACACTTCACTATTCTATAAAAATTAGTTTATGATATTAATAAAAAAATTATATTGGAACACTATCTTGTCACTATGTCATGACAATCCTTTTATTTTGGTCTAATGTGACGACATGTCATCGAGAATTACAACTTTTGTTATCAAAAAATGTATGTATCATAACTGATTTTTATAGTCTCTATATATGTCTTTATATTATTGTAGTGTAAATTAAATAGACACAATAGAAAATATTAAAATGCCCTAACTGTCATTCGTATTAGAAATGTGTTGCCAATTGTTAGGCAAACGTCAAGATTTGTATTCATAGATCTAATTGAGTATACTTTGTGTTAGAAATGGGTTGTCAATTGTTGTATATTTTCTAACGTTGTTTTGTAGAAAAATCGACAATGCCGCGTACTCGGATTACCGGTCGAGGTAGTGGCAGTACACCGAGCCGCGATATGGGTAGAGCCTCTAGTAGTGTTTCAGCACACCTGGAGGAGATAGATTCTGGCCGTGACAACGCTGCTCCAGAGTCGCTTCCACAACAACGGACGGTTATTGGCTTATGCGACAAAGAGTAAGTACATTTATAACTTTTAGTTGATAAAAATAATTGTTGCTCGTATTGATGCTAATTCATTTCATTATTTATGTAGCTTTAATGAA